TTTTTTTTTTTTTTTTTAGTTTTAAGATTCATTTGGTAGCAATGGTCCCCAAATACACTAATTGCATCATAATAATAAACACATTACTAGTATCATAAAAAGTTTTGAGCCCCAATTCTTAGGTTAGAGAATCTATATTTTAACAAACAGAGAGGCAGCTAGGTTTGAGATGTGTGCAAAAAATAATGACTTAACCCTGGTTTACAAATTTGAAATGTGTTCCAGGTTACTAGTTTCCACACATGACAAGCAGGAACCAGGAAACTTAAATTAACATCTATCAGAAACACCTGGTGCACTCAACTATAAAGCTGAAAAGTCTAGGGTTAAGAGCAATATTTTGTCTTCCTAACCCTCCAAGGTGATGCTGACACTGCTTGGAGTCTCACTTTGAGCGCTTTTCCACTCTAACAAAATTAACTCCCCCCAACCTCACCCCCGAAAAACTGCCTTAGCTGTCTTTATGTTACTGACCAGCTCTAGGCACCAGATGAAATGGGGTTATAAAACTCACATAGTTGTGAAGATTAAGTGAGAATGAGGGTGGCCACAACAACAACAACTGGGTACAATAAGGACCCAGTAAACAGTAGCTGCTTCTGTAACTGGCTAATTATGATAATAGACATTTCTGACTTTAACTGGCAAAAACCAAACATAAGCAACTCAGTTTACAATGTACCTTCTGGCAAAGGTTGCCAGCTCAGCTCCTCTTCTGCATTGTTTGTTGAGACCTTGTTACTGTGCTACAGTCTCACTCTGCTCCTCCAGACTAGACTACCTAATTGCCCTGGATAAACAGTCCTCTCTTACAAGTTTACTGATACTGGCTAGAGCTGCCTCTTCCTTAAAAACAATACACTGCATGAGGCATCAATCCTGCACAGTATTTAGAGCTCCCTTGCAGAAACCTCCCAAGCTATCCTTCCCATGGGTTCCACTAAAGTCCAGCCATGGAAGTAGTAAATTTCCACTCCCTCTTCCTCCGCCCCCCAAAAAAATCAAAGGAAACTGGAGCTCCAATAACTGCTGTTCAACCAGAACACAAATACATAACCAGCTTTCCTGAGATTCCCCAAAGTACTTTCCAGTGGAAACACTGCTCTAAATGCTACCTAATTTCCAAGAAGAAGCTAGTCAAAAAGTGTTAAATACGGGCTTCTTCAGGCTAGGAAAGGAATTTATTATTATTATTATTATTATTATTATTATTATTATTATTATTATT